AGTCCTCTCGTGTCCTATGAAGACAATTAAAGTCTCTGAATGCAAACCAAACAAGTGAGGCGGAGATTTAGAACAGCTTTGGAGAGAGGGCCCCTACAGGCTGCCAGGCCACTCTCTGCACGCACTTCTCAACCCTTTAATGCTTCCTTTCTCAGCCACTCAAGGCTGCAATTGTTTGAGGAGGAGATGAGGGGGCCAAGACTTGATGAATTACGGGTAGGCCAGCGGCTGCCAAGGGATGCATCTGAGTGGCAGCTCCTGCTCTAGGCATGCAACTTGCTCAGCCTCAGCCCCAGCCCTCAAAGTGACGTTGCACTGGGGGTGAAGCATGTGCTGGGGAAAAGGTTTCGCAAACAGCTGGTAAGTGTTTGCTTTTATGTTGCTCCATGACACCCTCCCCCATCTATGCCTCCTCCAATATTCTGATATGTGTTTCAGGGAATCATAAAGAGCACATAGCCAACCACCCCAGCCCAAGGGATTCACAGCCCTTTATATCCCTTGCCACCCAGGACACACTTTTGTTCATTCTTAAGGGGCTTACCTATCATGAAAACATTTCAATGCCTCTCTGACCAAAAGCAGAACTTTGACAGCTCCTTCATGACAGCTATCAGCATCCTTGAAGGAGACAAAAGGAGCCAATATTGGGAGCCTGCCTTTAAAATTTCCTATAGCTATATGCCAAACCTCCTTCTAAATTCTGACTTTCCTCTGGACCAGAGCACCAAAAAACACCTCTGAACCAAGAGTCTCTGACAGTGGGACTCTGGGGGACATGCTGAAGGGGCAATCTTCTCTCGGGCAGAAAACAACAACACCACCACCACCATACAGACTGAAGGGCAGTGACAGAAAGCTCCCCGCTGACTCACCAGTGAGAGATGCTGGGAATCAGCTGAAAGGCCCCTGTTTTCACAATTCCACTATTCTATTTGCTTAAGGTTGTTGGTAACTGTTGCTTAGCAGAGGGGCAAGGCCCTTGAACTTGTCCACGCTCTCTTCCAGACCTCCCCCACCCCAACCCCCCTTTTCAGAAAGGAAGGCTGAGGATATTTAAGGCTGCAGTGAAGGACCCAGGGCTCTTTCTCCCCTGCTCAACATCTGGCCCGCTCAATGATACGTTCCCCACAGTCAACACTATAATCAGGATGGCACATCCCAAAGGCTACAGTTTGCAGCAGCGAAACCTGTTATTGGCAAATCTGGCTGCGGACAAGAATAATCCAACTGGCCAATTATGATGTGATTCCAGCTGAAATGAGGCTCTCATGACTAATAAAAATCAATCCCGAAGTGGGACAAGATCCATTCCTGCTTGGAAAAGCCCATCATTCCTCCTCATAAAGGGGTGACCCCTAGGTGGACCAAAGGTCTCTGTTTGGCCAGATGTGACTATGCCCCACCCATCACTCTAGCACAGGGGTTCTGAACCTGAACTTGGATTCTTAAAAAAAGAAATATTTTCATGACTGCATTTCAATATAATTGATTTCCTTCATAATTCTATGTATTTTACTCCATGCATTTCAAGGCATTTTTTCTGAGAAGGGCTCCTTCCGTAGCTTCCCCAGATAGACCAAGGGTCTCATGTCACAAAGAAGGTTCAGATGCTCCAGGGGCTCATGTGAGCTACGCTCTGTTTGCCAGGTTACACAGAATCAACAAGCATTGTGAATTTTACTGAGACTGACCACAGATGCAACCTTATTGGAGTTTGGTTTGGGGGGAAGGGAAGGAATCCAGAGGAGGTCAGAAATTGCTAGGAGTCAGACATCTCTGAAACAGCCTAATAGAGACAAGGACTGGTCATTTGTAATTGCATTGATATAGAAAGCTTTATCAATGCAGGTTAGCATCTTCCCAGCAAATTGCTTAGAGCACAGAAAAGTGAAATGACTTGCTCACGGGCATGCAGTCAGTATGTGGGAGAGAAGGTAAGTGAGTTCAGATCTTGCTGGCTTTGAGGCTAGCTTTCTTTCCAGTACATTATAGCTACCTACTGTAAGTAAAAACTTTTTTTGGGGGGGCAATTGGGATTAAGTGACTTGCTCAGGGTCATACAGCTAGTAAGTGTCAAGTGTTTGGTCTGAGACCGGATTTGAACTCAGGTCCTCCTGACTTCAGGGCCAGTGCTCCACCCAGCTGCCCCCAGTAAATACTTTTCTGCATAGTCAATGACATCTTCCAGATCCAAGGAGCCCTGGATTTGGGGCCCTAGGATATGAGGTTGAGTCCTAACTCAGCTATTTGCTACCAGTGTGACTTTGGGCAAATCCCTGTCTGTCCTTTGTCCTCAGATTTTCCCTCTGTAAAATGAATAAGTTGGGCTAGAGGACACTGCAAGTATCTCCCAGATCTAAAATCTTTGATCCTGGGATTCCTGACAGGCCAGCTGCTTCCTCTTGGTTCCTCCCTCCCCCAATCTTCTAACACCTCCCCCCTCCCCCAGTCACAGCTGTATCAGCTTCTACTCTGTGCAGGAAGAATAAACACAAGCTTGTAGGGAGATATCAGATCAGAATGACTGGCCATCGGAGTTATGGGGAGTGGATTTTGAAGATGACCTTTTGCCAAGAAGGCCTCAAAAGATGTCTTTTGCCCTAATGCCAATTTCTTGGATAATCCGCTTTATTCAAAGCTGGGTGTACTCTCAGAGCCACCAATAAGGTCACCTCCCCCACCCCCATATTTTTCTCACTGGTTGAGCATAAGTCAAATGGGGGTCTTTGTTACCTGTTGAAATGCAACCCACGGAGTATAAGTAATACTTTAAACTGTTATCAGTCAAGGATACCTTAGTTGGGATGAATTTATCAGAGACTTCCTAGAGCTCACTCTATAGGTGTGTGGGGGGAATTATCGTAGCTAACTTTACATATATAACTATAAGGTTTGCAAAGCACTTTACATACATTATTTCATCTAACCCTCAAAACAACCCTGTGAGGTGGAGGCTATTATTCATTTTACAGTTGAGGGAAACTGAGGCTCAGAGAGGTTAAGTTAGTGTCTGAGGAAAGATTTTAATTTCCTGACTCCCAGTCCGGGATTCTATCCACCACAATGGGTCTCACAGAGGAGATACCACAGAGCTGGAAAGGACCAGAGAGAAATTTTGCCTTCTTTAGTTTTGTGAAGGGCTATTTCTGGCCACTTTAAAAACATTATCAGAGAGGAGTCATAAGATTTAGACCTGGAAGAGTACTGAGAGGTCATCTAATCTAATTTCCTTATTTTATAGATGAGGAAACTGAGCCTTGGAGATGGGAAGTGATTTGCCCAAAGTCACACAGTGTGTGAACATCAAAAGCCAGGGCTAGAACCCAGGCCTCCTGAATTTTAGGCCAGAGTTCTTCCTACTACACCACACTGTCCTGGCCATATTTTCTTCCCTTGCTTTAAAGAGAATTCTCTAGCTGCTATGAATAATGCACTGAATTCCCTCCATGCACCAAAAAATAAGTGAATTTGACTTGGGTTAGTTCTCCGACTAGTTGCAAGACATCCAATAATGGGCTTCTTTGAAGATGATGAAGTTTGAAATGAGTAAGGAATAAGACAGCCAGGGAACTAGGTCTTAGCTCACAGCCTTGCCACATCCTCTGAAGATTAGAAAGCATGACTAATGAAAAAAGTTACACATTTCCATGGCTCTAGAGTTAGTAATCTGGAGCAGGCATTTTTCTGGACTGGTTGTCAACAGGACAGGCAGCCATAGAAGAACTGAACTTTTGAGGTCATTTAGACTAATTCTCAGTCACCCATTTTACATAGAAGGAAACAGAAATTCAGAAAAAGGAAATGACTTTCCTAAGGTCACACAGCTGTTGGCAAAACAGCCCAGTCACATTCTCCCAGTCCAGTGGTCTTTCCACTAGGCTACAGTGTCTTCTCTTAAGAGGCCTCTGCTAGGTTTAGTTCATCTGGAGAGGAATCTGTTGTCTACTGGAGAAAGCACTGGACCCTGGGAGTGAGAAGATCAGCGTTTTAGTCTTGACTCTACTGTTAACTCCCTGTATGACCCAGGGAAAAAAATCAGTTCCCTAATTTGGGCCCCAGGTTCTCCATCTGTAAAAAGACAGGTTGGATTAGGTTCAGGAATCTGGTTGGAAGCAGAGAACTTGGTTTGAAGAGAACTTTGAGAGCTTTGAATACAAATTCAACTCCCTCATTTTAAAAGAGGAAACTGAGGTCCAGAAAGGTTGACATAGTGATTGGTAGAACCAGTATCCAAACTAAGGGGTTCTGAGCCCTAGTGATCTAAAATCTTTCCACTTCTAATATTTGGAAGCCTTAAAGGAATGATGGATTCTCTCCACGACCTCCAAACCCAGCACTGTCTTCTTGGTGGACCAACACTTTCTGAGTAGAAGGAAGTTCTTCAAAGACATCCATTGATTTTTATGAACAAGTAAATTGTCATTTTGGAAATTCTGACTCTCAATTCAATCAGTACATTCTATTCAATAAGCATTTATTCAGTGCCTTCTATGAGCAAGACACATGCTAGGCGCTGGGGATACAAAGACAGCCAAAACTCGGCCTCCACGGCTCTCTATGCTGAGGCTGAAAAAGATGACTGAGGAGAAAAAGGTGAAGTTCAGGATGCCATCCCATCCCTGGGGCTGGCTCGAGGCAGCTCGGCTAGGGAAAGCTGCAGCTGGCTGCCGTGCACTGTCCGCATGGGGGCAGGAGACGAGGCCCGGTGCGGGAATCTCCTGTCTCGCCCCCGTCTGTCCCCCGCAGCCTCAGGAGCTGGCCAGCCCCTCCCTGCCAGGAGGCTGACTAGCTGGCTGGCTACCCGCCTGCCTGCTGGAGCTAGCTAGCAACCACGCATCCGTCAGCCAGCTCTACTGAGGACCAAGGAGAGGGGCAAGGAAGTGTCAGCCCACGCAGAGGATCGGAGCCACGAAAACTTCCCCCTTTCCTTCCAAAGGCTGGAGCGGAGGGCACCCACCCACTTCTCCCACCCCCGACTCCAGGCCCCGGCTCCTCACCTGGGCCCCAGGCGGATTCCCAAGCGCGCAGCGGCCCGCTGCCTTCCAAGCCCGCGGGCTCCCTCTCGGACCTCCAGCGCAGCGCCAGCAGCAGCGGCCTCCTCCACGGACAGACACATCCAGGGGCTCCGATCAGCTGGCGGGGGCGCGGCCCCAGCCCCACGACCCTGAAGCGGCTGCCCGGCCGGCCAGCCTGGCAGTGGGGGGCTCTCGGAGCGGAGCCCGGGGGCGCATAACCGCGGGCTGGCTGGCTGGGGAGTGGGGGGTCCTCGCCGCTGCCCGCAGCCCGGCTCAGCCCAGCCCAGCCCAACAGTCCAGCGCAGCCTGGAGCAGCCGGCACAGCCCAGCCCAGCCCAGCCCAGCCCAGCCCTGCCCAACCCAGCCCAGCCGAGCGCAGCGCAGCTCCAGCCCGGCTCGGCTCCGCACACACCTGCACTCACGTAGTGGCAGAGGGGGAAGCTCGGTGGGGACCCGAGCACGCTGCTGGAGGAGCCTCCCGCTGCTGGAGAGGATGACATCACTTCATTTGCATGTTCCTGAGAGTTCCCTCTGCCTGTCTTTTTGGCCAACTTGAAGTTTCTTCCTAATCAAAGTTCTCCATTGCTTAACCATTTATTAACTCTACGGGCGACGCAATCCCACCCGCCTCCCCCTTCCCGCTCCCCGGTAAAATAAAGTAACCTAGTCTGGTGCAGTGTTAAGAGACCTGGGTTTGAATTCATTTCAATTCAATTCAACTCAATTCAATTCAGATCAGTTCAATTCTGGTCAACTCCAGACACATTTATTAAAGCAACCTGGGTAATGGCTGGAGAACTGACCTGGGAGTCAGGAAGACCTGGGTTCAAGTTTTACCTTTCATGTCCTTTAAAACTTCCCGACTCTCAATGGCTGATGGGAAATTATGAATCAGGTTTGGAACTTGTCTGGAATTTACTAATCAGGTTTGGTTCAAGGGAAAAAAATGTGCAAGGCACCGTGCTAAGTGCTGGGGAATTCAAAGATAAAGAACTTCATATGCCCTGCCCTCACGGAGCTTACATTCTGCTGGCAGGGATTCATCCCTCTTCGTACACTGTCATTCATTCCGGCAATCAACAGTACCACTGTGTGCTAAGTGATGATACTGATCGCTGAGAATACAAAGTGAGACAAAAACATAGTCCGTGCCCTCAAGAAGCTCACATTCTATAGGGGGAGAGGACGTGTCAATAACTAGGTGTAAATGCCATGTAGATATAGTACAATACATGGAAAGTAATGACAGAAGGGGAAGTATTAGCAGCTGGTGAGACTGGAGAAAGGCCAGAAAGGCCTCCTGCAGAAGGAACGATTTCAATTTTGGGGACAGTCAGGGAAGTCAGGAAGCAGAGGTAAGGAGAGAGGGCATTCCAGGCACGGGGACAGCCAGTGCAAATACATGGAGTTGGGAGATGGAGTGTCTCGTCCAAGGAACAGCAAAGATGCCAGTGTACCTGGATCACAGAGTCAGGGTAGGAAATGGAGGAAGGGATCAAACAGTGGATTTTATATTTGATTCTGGCAGTACTAGGGAGCAAATAGAATTTATGAAAAAGTATGTGAGTGGCGGGGTGGGGGGAGGGGGGATGTGTTCAGAAATGTGCTTGAGGTAAATCACTCTGGTAGTTAAATGGAGGATGGATTGGAAGGGAGAGAGTCTAGAGACAGGGACACCAACTAGAAGGCTTCTGTTGTAAGGAAAGGTATGACAAGATTTGGCCACAGAATGGATATGGTGAGTGAGTTAGAGGAAAAACAGAATGACACTGATGTTTGGAGCCTGGGAGGTTGGTAGGGCTCTTAACAGTAATAGGGAAGTCTGAAATCGGGAAGGGACAGTTGTGGGGGGTGGGGAAGGGAAGAGTTAGTGAGTTCAGTTTTAGAAATGCTGAGTTTAATTTACAGAAGCTTTTTTTGTGGTGTCCAAGAATTGGAAATTGAGGGAATGCTCGTCAACTGGGAAATGGCTGAACAAGTTGTGGTATATGAATGTAATGGAATACTATTGTGCTATAAGAAATGGTGAGCATGTGGATTTCAGAAAACCTGGAAAGACTTCTATGGACTGATGCTGAGTGAAGTGAGCAGAACCAGGAGAAAACATTGTACACAGTAACAGCAATACTGCATGATGAACAACTGTTAATGACTTAGCGCTTCTCAGCAATGCAATGATCCAAGACAATTCCAAAACACTTGTGGCGGAAAATGCTATCCACATCCAGAGAAAGAACTGTGGTGTCTGAATGCAGATTGAAGCATACTATTTTCACTTTTTTTGTTTTTTTTTCTTTCTTGTGGTTTTCCCCTTTTGTTCTGATTCTTCTTTCCCGACATGACTAATGTGGAAATATGTTTAACATGATTGATTGTACATGTATAATCTATATCAAATTGATTGGTGTTTTGAGGAGGGGAAGGAGGGAGGGAGAAAAATTTGAAACTCAAAATTTTATAAAAATGAATGTTGAAAACTATCTTTACCTGTAATTGGAAAAAATATTATTTAAAATTTTTTAAATTAATTTATTTTGATTGATCAATAATCACTTCCATATGCTTCTGAGTTTAGAAAAAATACTATTAAAGAAAAATGAAGTGTCATTGGCGCAGAAAAAAAATGCTGAGTTTGAGATATCTGTGAGATATACTTTGAGAGGGCCCCAGGGCTGGATAAAAATCCACACATTCATATATTTTGTTGTTATTCAGTCATGTCCAACTCTTTGTGACCCCATGGACCATACTGTCCATGGGGTTTTCTCTGCAAAGATAATGGAGTGGTTTGCCATTTTCTTCCCCAGTGCATTAAGGCAAACAGAGGTTAAGTGACTTGCTCAGGGTCACACAGCTAGTGAGTGTCTGAGGCAAAATTTGAACTGAGGTTTTCTTGACTCCAGGCCCAGTGCTCTATTCACTGAGCCACCTGGCTGCCTCTATGTATTCATATATAACTAGGTATAAACAGGAATATACACACACATAGACATGCATGTGCATACACACATATATGACTCATCAGTATGAAGAAAATAATTGAATCCACAGGAGCTGATGAGGTCATCAAATGAGATAGTTAAGTATGAGATAGCCTTATACAGAAAAATACATTAGCTCGGAAGTCAGAGGACCTGGGTTCAAATTCCATCTCTCATGCTTACTATTTGTATGACCTCAAGTAATTTACTTTGCGCCTCTCTTGGACTCAGTTTCCTTAATTGTAAAATGAAAGAGGAGTACTACATGGCCTCTATGAGTCTATAAAACAAGGTACTGAGACATAAGAGAGATCTGGATGGACTCTAGCAAAACTTTAGGAAGGAGCAAACTGTTTCAGGGAGAGGCTAGAGGAGGTAGAGGCAGAGGAAAGGGGGATGGCCAGGGGAGGCTTCATGCAGAAGGTGAAGCCAGCTGAGCCTTGAAGGAAGCAGATTTTAATAGGCAGAGATGAGGAAAAATTATAGCAGGGATGGAGGGCGGACTGAGTGAATGCACAGAGGCCAGAGAGAGGAGAAATTCCAGAGTTGGGGGAATAATAGTTGATTTTGGCTTAAACATGATATTTACATGTGACCCACGGCAAGGCAAGTCACTTAACCCATCCGTTTCCTCTTCTGTAAAATGGGGTAATACCTACTTCACAGAGCTGTTGCGGGGCAAGGACTTTGGAAATCTTTTAAATGTCATAAAACTCTGAATTCTAATCATCCTCACCTCTGGGAACAGGGTGGCTAAGGGTGAAAAGAACCAGACAGTCCAGAGGCAGCCAGATCCAGTCCAAATATTGGTCTGAGTCAGGCTCAAGCTATCTCGTGCTTTCAACAAATCTGTCCCGAGATGGCACCTGGGTGTGTGGGAGCAGATTTTATTAATGTGGGAGAAAGGGCTGGCCAGGATGACAGGGAAACAGGAGCTGTCGGCTGCCATTGGCTCTTTGAAGGCCATTCCTGCAGAGGAGACGAGCCCTCACACTGTTTGGGGTGGCCCGGGCCAATGAAAATGGTTTTTGTTTAGTTCCCTGTTTCCTATGGAATTAACGTTTGTTTTCATTTTGACCAAAATACAAATACAGGATCAGGGAAGGGAGCCGGTCAGGGACTGAGACAGATGTTCCCACTGTTCCTAATTAAGGATATTCTGGGAAAGGTTTCTTCATCGCCCTCTCTGGTGGAATGAGTTTGGGGCTCAGCCTCTGCGTTCAATAATGAGGCATTGTGCTCTCGTGCACGGAATACAGGACTTGGAATCCTTGGACTTGCGCTAGTTTAGCTGTAATAATAACAATATTCTTATTAATAATAATAAGGGTGAAGGGAAAGAACATTATGTGCCAGGCTCTGTGCTAAGGTGCTTAACAAATATTATTCCATTTGATCCTTACAATGACTCTAGGAGGTAAGTGCTATGATTATTCCCATTTTATAACTGAGAAAACTGAGGCAGACAGAGGTTAAGTGACTTGTTCAAGGTCAAGGAGCTTTTAAGTGAGGCTGGATTTGAGCTCATCTTCCTGATTCCAGGACCAGCTCTCTATTCATAGTACAGTCTCCCTGCCTTTAATATGATGATGATAATGATGAAGATGATGATGACACAATGATGGTCACACTAGGGAGGGTGATAGATTGGTATGGTGGATAAAGAGCTGACCTTGGAGACAGGAGGAATTGGGTTCAAGTCCTCCCTTTGATGTGTAGTGGCTGTGACTATGACTAAGTCTTTTAGCCCCTCACTACTCCAGGCAAAGCTTAGACTGCAAATTCCAGAGAAGGCAGCTGCCTACATTGGTAGAAGAACCTTCCTCACCCAAGATTCTCTATACCAATAAAATCACAGGTCCAGTTTCTGGCCCTAACAATAATAAGAGCTGGCATTTACATAGTCTTTTACAATGTGCAAAAATGATATTACACACATACACACCCATCTATGTATCTATAATAAAGGAATTCTACATAGTAATGTTTTATGTAATCTATTTTCTCATCTGATTTTCACAGTAACCCTGTGAAATAGATACTACAGCTTCTGTCACCCCGTTTTAAAGATGAGGAAACTGAGGCACAAAGGGGATAAGGGATCTGCCCATAGCCACACAGCTAATAAGTGTCAGGGGCTGCATTTGTATTCAGGTCTTCCTGACTCTCAGTCCAGAATGCCATTTACTACCTCATATTTTTTCTCTAATGAGCTGTGTGAATTTGGCCAGTTCACCTTCTCTGGGCTTCAGTTTCTTTGTCTGTAAAAGTAACTCTGTGTGTGTGTGGGGGGGGTGGTGGTGGCTAGATCACATTTAAGGTCCTTTCCAGTGCTGACATTCTTTGATCCCTCTCTAGAGCCCAGGTGCCATACCAGCCAGGTGGCTTTTTCTGGCTCTAAGAGATGACTGTTTAACATCTGACAGCTGACTGGTGTGGGAGGCAGTACTTGTGAGGCAGTGTGTAGACAGGGAGAGTTGGATGTAGGAAAATGAGGGAAATCATTAATCTTTCTCTTTCAAAGTGATTTGGTCCCCTGGCCCTCAGTATCTCCAGGCCTTCAAGAGACTGAGTTGAAGCTTCTCAGAGAGGAGGATCCCTTCCACCCCCCTTCCTTCTTCGCTCCCCGGTTGTCATGGCCACAGATCGTGACAGAGCCTCCAGCTCCCAAAGCCTGCTTGGAGCACGGAGCTCAGAGCTCATCAGCAGCAGCGGCAGCAGCTGTGGGGGCTATCGCCTGATTCATAGCAAAATGAAGTCAGAACCTGCCCAAGTCTCTGAGAGGCCATTTCGGGTGTACCAGAGGTGACCTGCATTTTTTATGGCTGATTCACCCACTCAGCTGCAAGGGGAACTAGATTGCAGGTCTGGGGCTTCAGAGCCCAAACCATGGCAGGAAGCAGGATGCAGACAGGCCCTGACTTACTCTCACCCCAGCCCTCCATAAAAATGCTGAATTTAATCTGGAGGTGGGGCGGGGCTTTATTTCCCTGTTCTCAGTCTTCTTGGATCTGGCCCCATTTGGATAATGGGACCTGAGCCCAAGATAATGGCTGGATGCTCTGAGGCTTGTAGGAAAAAGGAGTTTCTTATGGACATAGCACTGGACTGGGAGTCAGGTGATGTGGGTTCTAGTCTTGGCTTTATCACTTACTTGCTTTATGTCCCTGGGTAAGTCTTTTGTTGTCCTTGTTTGTAAGATTTCAACATTGGAGTAGATGATTTCTAAGATTCCTTTGAGATCTAACATTCTATGAATCTGGGATTCCTTAGGTCATTCTCCAAGGTATAATAAAACCTTCAAACCCGGGATGATATGCCCCTAAGGACATCTAAGATAGGCAGGTTTCCTATATACCTAAATATTCACAGCCGTGCTTTTTGTAGTAGCCAAGATCTGGCAACAAAGCAGAGAGTGGAGGCCTAGCAATCTGAGGAATGACCATATTGTGGTACATGAGTGTAATGGTATTTTACTGTGCCGTAAGAAACAATGGATATGAAAATTCAGAGAAGTATGAGATTCATATAAGCTGATGCAGTATGAAGTGAGTAGAACCAGCAAAACAATGTATGCAATGACAGAAACAATGCATGTGACTGCAATGTTAATGGAAAGAACAATAAAACAAATTAAACACGGTGTAATTATAATGATCAAGCTTGGCCCTAGAGGAGAGATGAGACAATGCACCTCGTTTGCTTCATAACAGAGTATTTAGGTACTCTGAGTATGGAATATTACCTATACTGTCAAAGACAGTCAATACATTAGTTGGTTTTGCTGAAATGCTTTTTTTCCTTCTTTCTTTTCAAGCCTTCTCTCCCCCCTTCCCAAGGGATGACTCTCTTGTTTGAGGCGGGGAGGTATATGTTTGGAAATGAATATGATGTGAAAACAAAAGGTATCAATAAAAAAAAGAAGCCTTCCTTATATACCAAAATATTCATAGCAGCCTGTTTTGTGGCAGCAAAATATAAACAATGG